CGATTACGCAAGTTTTGACCTACATTACTTGTTTGAATGTCTTTAGTACCATGCCTTTCTCATTATTCTTATTATTTTGTGGATATTAACTGTTCGCATACTTTACCTTGTCACCAAAGTGTAAAGAACTCACTGTGATTGTTTTCATGTTTCATATATAAGAAAAATTATGTTTATTAAAGCCTAATATTGTTCACTTATGTACTCTCAAATACAAGATAACAAAGCGAAAGTTACAGAAATGGAAAGTTCATCGAAATTCGTGAGAAACCATAAGAAACGAGAAGGTAAAGCATATAACGAAACGTTACATCCATTTATGCTAAAGACAATGTATGGATGTATCGCATCACAGATCGATTCTGAGCTTTGTCAACTAAAGTTTCAAACACCGATTTCGATTGTCTTTTGAACTTCAACCGAGCAGTTTACATCAGCAGTCAGGCTTCAAGAGTTGATGCTTACTTAGTCTGGTTAAGCTCACCGTTCTTACAAGCTTAAATCTGCTTTGAATATTGCAGTAGACAATGAATAAGTATGCGTAACATGTCCCTGATATCCGAGTGATAAAGGTTTACAGCCTATAACTGATTTACCTCTTTTGCCTTTGATTGTATGCATAAACTTACATTACTAATGTAGTGCTTCTTTGACATATAACCAATGCTAAAGTAGTTGAACTCAAGAAGTCTCCCTAGTGTTGAAAATAGATAGACCATATAGCTCGCAGCTACTTCTGGATATGATCAGTGAGATGTTGCAGCTGTACTAAGCGTACACACTAACTCAGTGACCACTTACAGGCTCCAGCAGATGTATTTCTGCTACCGAATGAGTGTAAGATGGCCACAGCTAGGTGACCGTTTTAAGCTCACTTCGAAGATAAGGATGTTTAAGTTGCTTTGAGAAGGAAATGGGCTAGTTCTTTATCTAAATGTGAGAGGTCTATGCATCCTAAAGGAAAGATTTTTAGTTACTAATTTAGCTCATCACTATGACAGTCAACAACGATGAAATAAAAAGTGATATTTGTAGCATTCATCTTGACATCAGAAAAAGTAGTCAATAATGTGATTTAAAGTGGTCCAATTGGTAGTTATTCGTTTTGTCGTACCAATGATCAGTTCAAGTCATATTAACTACTTGTTAATGGACTCTAACTTAAATAACATTGGTACAAAGTAGATTTTCAAAGAAATAATTGCGTTTTCCGATAGTTTGCCAACACCCTAATCTCGATATTGGGTATAGTAAGTGGTTGACAAAACTAAGCTTTGCATAATCTAGGCGAGTCTTACGGATGGACTTAGAAATAGGTACATTCCTGTCTTAGGTTAACTGTAGCATCAGTTTCTACGTCAGACGACAAACTGGCTAGACAGTTTCGTAACAGAACAACACTCAACCGGAAGAAGCTTGGCGCCCTCTCCAGTCTACTGTAAAAGCTGACTCTTAAAAGTTAGTGGAAAACCACCAGTAGATTTCAACAGCATAATTAATTCATGTACTGAATGCCTCTCTTCAGGCTCTGAGTACAATGAGGAGTGGAAGCAACTCAAATATAGGCTTGGCGTAATAACCGCGAATAGGGGTGGACAGCGAAGGCCAAAGAGATGGGGAAGGTAGTGGCGATAGGTAGCAGTAAACAGCTATTTAGAGTCATCAAAGAAACTGAAGTGAATAGACTAGCTGTTAGTAAGACTATGTCGGAGAAGAATGGGTCTGCGATACAATCGCAAGGGAGACGATTGGAACGATGGGTGAAACATTTCGAAAAACACAGTTGAACTGGCCTCCAGCTACTATTGTATTGTCCTCTATCCAGTTGTATCCACTAATGTAAATTCAGGCTGGGAAAAGGTTAGAGGTGTTTATACCTATACACGGCACCAGTGCATGAAATCTTAAATTATTTGTCTGAATCATGCGGGCAAATTTGCACTTCTCCCTTGGACTCCGCATGACAACAGAAACCAGTGTTTGAAGACTCTAGTTGACATGACTCAGAGAGAATGCATCCCGACTGAAATCTGGTATCTTGACGTGGTGGTCGGGCTTGCATATCACAACGATGTAACAAGCTATGCTGATGAGACGCTTGTTCCCTCTAGTTCCTACCATGCCAGAAAGGTCTGTTGGGTAGTGGTAAGACGAAAACCAATCACCGTCGTAGTATGAACTGCTACGCTATGATGGGGTCTGAGGGCGAAGTCGTACTGGTGCTACCTGAATGGGGTGTGACCAGCAGTGCTACACTGAAGCTGCCTTTGCAAAGGGAAGAAAGAGTTGGAAAGGGTTGACCCCCAAAATAACACACCGCACCCCTCTTGGAATACCGATGCTTGCAACAGGGATTAATAGTTGGATTCTAAAGCGAAAAAACTAAAATCTCAAAATTACCGAAAGGCCGTATGTGACCGGTCTCAAGCGAATGTCTCGTTTGGCTATGTAGACACTCAAATCCTTTCCTCCTTTGGATTCTACGGTGTGGGCACCGGGAAAATATCAACCACCCACACGCTTTCAGTAGTACACAAAATCCAATCAGAAATGACCTGCTTTGCCTTCATCTCTTGATACTAATATTAAGCCGCCTTACACCACCTTCCCCAAACTCATTCTGCGACCATTTCTAATGACCAAAGCTATTGAAACCTCATTCCTAGTCTCCTGAAGCACCGCCAACGATTTCATGTGGGGACCTTTCAACTTTCAAATCAGACAGCAAGCACCTCTCACTTAGTTCTGGAATCTGCCACGGATGTATGCTTTGTCTCTGAGTCACGTATACAGGAACCATGTGTGGTTATCAAATTGACCTTAGTTTAGGAGTATCCGTAAACCCAGTGGCTAGCTCTTGTGGATAGAAAGTGCACTCCTTGACTAGATATCAGTAAACAGCCGTCTATGTGCTGTTCGACTGAATGGAGCTGTGAGAATCAGGAAGAATGGCAAGACTAGGTGATGCCTATTCGTAATCTCCACCTACGCACTCACCGACTGCAGTTCGGATGAATTCTATGATTAGCTGTCGATTTCAATACAGAAAGCAATACGTTCAGATGTAGTCATAATGGCAGGTGACTTCAAAGCTCAAGTAGAAAAGCTAAGCCGATCGAAAAGACATCTTGGAGGTGTTAGCAGAATCCATGCAAACGAAGCGACAACGGTGATCATCTGTTGCAATTTTGCTCCGACAATCACTTGTTTCTGGCCAGCACTAACTATATGCATAAGGAAAGACACTATCTCACATGGCATTCGCCGACATTAAACCAACCGTGGACACAGATAGATCATACTGCTATCGTCGGAGAATTGCCGCTCTTCCTGGGGCACATGTTTAGACTGTGATCACGTGATAGTACAGGTCGCAGAGGACAGGCGGTGGTAAAGTTTGTCGGAAGACGAGGACGCCAAGTTCATATGTAGAGAAGATTTAGCTAAGCACTTATCTGGACGTGACAGCTATGCTCTTCCTGAGAAAGCCTGGCGTGATATTAAGTCTGCTGTAGAAACAGCGTAAAGACAAGTGATAACCTACAAGCGAAGGTTAATAAACGTCATCGGATTTTCTTAACGTCATACGAACTGATTGACGCTAGAAGAATGATTCCATCTGGCCCCAATAGTCGACACGCCGTATTTCTTGTACTGAGGGCTGCTAGACTGAGACGTCTCACCAGTCGGTGAAATCGACTTCTAGTCTAAGTCGTGTTGGCAGATGTAGACTACCTGGTCGGTTTCTCTGAAACGAAAGGGATCAATGGTTGAGGACCGTTGGTAACATGCCCGAAAATGGGTCTCATTGACTCAGTTGCATTCACTCCTTGATATCTAAATCTTAGTCGTTTGCACTGTGATCTTCAAATTGTTTAATCTCACACTTTTAATATCACTCTCTTCATTCACCTGTTCTTCGCATAATACTGTGAGGTGTTGGACTTGTGTGTGAGGTTGTGCGTGTATTTTCTTTGCCGGAGTTATCCGCACACCATCGTTATATTTGTCATTCCTTTGTCCCGTTTCAATACTCTCACCCACTTAACATTTCTTTGACTTTCATCTTGGGGCATTCTCGCTTGATGTATTTTCATGTGTAGCAGTTTAAACTTACACAGTAATCCTTATGTTGATGATGCTTCTAATTTTAACTTCATTGTTGTCAGTGAGAATATTAGGTTCTTTATGGGCTGCAGTGGTGACACTGACGGTTACGCAGTATTGATATATTCGACCTTAGACTATGTTAAACTTGAAATCAAGCTTATTGAGTCCTGTTTCAGGTCTTGTGAAAATGTCTTAATCCAAGGCCTATTATGTGATGTCATTTTTTCAGCGTTAGGAGAAGTGAATGACGGTGTTAAATTCGGTTTTTGTGTTCATGATTTGCAGTTGACCTCGTCGTGTTTTCATGTTTAGAGTCTTCGTGTGTCATGATTCGAATTTAATTAGTATTTATCTATTTTTCAAGCCCTTACTCCCATAGCTCGAACAAATATCATTCCCAAATAACCGATATCAAGTATTTTGAACTAAAAAATCAGGTATCTTTTTATGAGTAATTTTGTTTACCATTTTGAAAGAGTATAGTAAATCCTTCATGTTTAAATTGATGGAAGGATCCAATATACAGAATATCGCAGCATAGTTAATTAGATACATTTTTTCGTACCCGAATTTCTTCCAAAATTCTATGTTTTCAGTCCTTAATTTGTTCTGATTTATATGATATACAAGTACTTTAAACAGTAGTCGCACAAGTCTGAAAGTGGTGGTATTATTGCCTGACCGTGGTGACAAATTAAAAAACTTGTGATCACTTTGTTACATTAAGTAGCTGCCCATATATTAATTGTCAGAGCATGTATACGTTGTGACTGTGTTTTTCCACAGCCGACTCCTTGTTGATACTGAGTACATAAGGTTATCAGCATTGTAAAATACAGCAACATAACTTACTTTCCACCCACCAATTAGTTTATGTTATCTGTTTGCAGGTGACTCTCATAACCAATATCTAAATTCTCTGGTTCTCTATCGTGACCTTCCTACACGGTGCTCCTGCGGCCATTGGTTCCTCTCGTAGACGAAAAACACTATGAAGAAGAACGGGAGAAAAAGTGGAGTACTATTAAGAATGAACATGAAAATACTGAGCTGCTTGAGCAATTTAATAAATTGGAGAAGGAATTGAATGTTCTTTCGCGGAAGGAAAAACGATGACCGCTGACTGTCCTGGTGCAACTAGTTTAGCGCATAATCTCGCTGTGAAATGGAAAGAAATGAAAAACGTCTATAAACGAATACGTGAAAATATGCTACTCGATTAGGAAATACGATTTTTGTGTATCAAAGTAGTTGTTTATTGGTGACTGTGGTACTAGCAGACAGATTTAAGTAATCCTATGATTACACCAATAAATTAAAAATATTATGCTCATTTCATACCGATTTTGTTGGTAGTTGTATGGCCAGACTAGCGCCAATTACTGTTTCATTAGTTTACCTGACATGTTTATGCCCAAATCAACTCAAGTATTTTTGGTTTCGGGAGTTTTATAGGAAATAAGCATCCACGAAAGTATCAACCATCACTAGTTAGACGAATAGTTAACGGTAAATTGAAGTTATATTCTTTCTTTACATTTGCAAGTTGAGAAAGGCTTAAAAAGTGGCATATTACCAAGAACATTCACTTTCGATAAGGAAGATGAGAAAAAACAGCGTATAATGTAGCGCTAGTGTAATTGTGTTAGCTGCTACCTGTCACAAACGATACAGCAAAGAAAAGTGAAAAATTACCGATGATATAGAAGTCACGCTGTGCAGGAGATCGAACCGTCGATATGCTAATCAAAGCACGATAATGTTGCTAACTGTATTTTATGATGGGTATACTCCGCACAGAATTAATGAGGAATTCCTGGAAGATGAGACTGTTCAATGCTGCAGCAGCAAAACCTAAACAGGCCTACCCATTCATGACAGATTTTATTGTTAGTTGTCCCTTCGGTTCCTGGTGGAACATAGGGCATCAGAAGAACGTATCCACTCCACTCTCTTCTCTGCAATATTTGAACCTGGCTACATAACAGCCCACAAGCCCTAATTTCTTCCCCACACGAAATCCTCCATCTCACCCTCGCTTCAGACGCCCCACTCGTCGTTTACCATCTGGGTTGCACTCGAGCCATTGGCCTGGCAAGTAATGTGCCTTGAAGTTTCTGTAGCGGTTGGATTGGTTTTACGGTGCAGGGTTGCTAATCTTATGCCCAACCTTTCCTCTTTACCCGGGTTTAGGACCGGCTAGTAACTAGTGAACTAGTCAACCAGGTAAGGTTGAAGCAGCTTTATGAAGAAGTATATTCATTGTTTGTTCTCTTCCATTTATTGAAGTCGTATGAGATAAAGTCCTCAAAACGTGTAATGTAGCACTGAGTAAATTGGTCTCTTATATTAAGCTGTTTGTTTACATTTTCAATGCCAATATAATCGTCCAGAAGTTTTAAAGCATTTATTGTAGATGAGGCTTCATATATAATGACTTGGAGGGTGCTGATAAGCACGTGAGTTTGTTGTGAAACTGTCCAGAAAATAGGAAGACGTTGGAGGCAAACCAGCTGAAAACTTCTAACAAACAGTTCCTAAAATCACGCACTTAAAGTAGTATTTCCCAGAAGTTGATATTTTTGGATCAAAATTATGTCCAGGATTTTTTCGTCAAGTTAATGCTGAAAAGAGAAAATAACAGTTCGCCAAAAATGATGAATGGGGGAATAATCCACTCATACGCCACCAGAACTTTATCGATTCGGTTGATAAAAAGTTCAGTATATAGGTGTTTCCATGCTGTCGTTCCGTGAACTAATGCACTGTGAAGGTTAACCATCAAAGTGTTTTTAAAAGAGAATTTCATGATAGCAGCATAAAAAATTTCCTTATCCTTGGAAGATGTGAAAGGGATAAAAGTGTCATG